GAACTGATCCCGCTGAGGTTGCAGCAATGTTTTATTGCTCACTATATTTCAGCCACAAGATCAAATAGAAGTCGGGGAAGACGGCTTTAAACAATGGGATGGTAAGAGCAGTGTTCCCTATAGGATGCAGTAATGTATATTCTTTTCCTAAGTATTTCTTTTTCATTATTAAAAGCTTTAAACTGTAAATTTCCATAACTGTAACTTTACCGAATTCATTCTATTTTATACTTTTGAGCCTGTAGCTTTTGATGGTGTTTGATGGTGTCCCTTTTTCCCACCCACCCCCTTTCTCCCAATTAGTGTTGGATTCCCTGGATATGGAGGCAATGGTGAGCACAGTGCGGGCCTGGATTGAGAACCCCGTCAAGTTTGCCCGTTCGCACGGGGTGAATGTCACACCTGGCTCTAAAGAGCCAACCTCCCAAGATATCCATATATTGGTCATTGAAGGCTTCCTGCTTTATAATTACAAGTAAGGTTTGGAGAACTYTTCATGGTTTGCCAGGGAAGATCTTTAAATCCCTCGTGCCAGAGCTAAAAACTCCTTTTTACTAATTTCCCCATTCCTGACGGAGAGTTTTTTGCTGTAAAATGTAAAATTAACCCTTAAATGCTGATAGAATTGAGGTGAATGCTAAATTCTTATTTAGGACCCAACCTCAGAATCCAGGGGAGTTTTAGACCAGGATTTGAGCTCAGAGAGGTGCAGGCTTCCCCCTCAACCCCCACTTTGGTGAGAAGAAGGAGATAATCCATTCACTGCCTGGAATCWCTCCTGGAGTTCAGGATCAGTTCTCTCCTGTGCTTGTTTAACACTGACTAAACTGAGCTTAGCAACAGGAGAAAATTCCCTGAATTTGGGGAAGAACATGGAATCCCAGAATGGTTTGGAAGGGATTTAAAGCTCACCCAGTTCCAAGCCCCTGCCATGTGCAGGGACACCTTCCACAACACCAGAATGCTCCGAGCCCCATCCAACCTGGCACTGGACACTGCCATGAACATGAGCCAAGGAGTTACCCTGTCCCAGATTTTGCTGCAAACTGATTTTGGAATGGTCTAGGAAGAGCCAGGGTTCCCAGCCCAGTGTCTGATCCTCCACAGGATCCCCTCTGATCCCCCTCAGGCAACTATTTGGGTGAAGAAAGCCCCTGCTGGGCCATCCTGATGATCAGAAAAGCCATTTTCCATGGTTTAGACTTAACAAACCCATGAGGGAAGCACTTTACCCTTGAGCTGTCTTCAACAGACACAAATCCCATAGAGGCAGAGAGGTCTTGGTGGTGTCTGGGGTGATTTCACAMTCTTTGCTGTCATTAAGAGTCCGATATCCACGTTGTGTCCTCCCCTCCCCAGACCTCTGATGGAGCTGTTCGACCTTCGGTACTACCTGGCAGTGCCATATGAGGAGTGCAAGAGGAGGAGAAGGTGAGAACATTCTGGAAATGCATCCAGCCCTTCCCTCTGCTCCTTTCCATTGCCATTGCTCATGGAATCATGGAATGGTTGGGGTGGGAAGGACCTTAAAGCTCATCTGATGGGCAGGGACACCTTCCACCRYCCCAGATTGCTCCAGCCTGGCCTTGGACACTGCCAGGAGTGGAGAGTTCACAGTTCCTGGGCTGTGYTGGWGTCATGAATTGAAATTAGAGTGGGAAATGTGAATAGAAGTGGAGGAAGAGGGTTTGGTGTGGTGAATTTGGAATCACAGAGTTGTTGGTGTTCGAGAAGACCTCTGAGATTGAATCCAACCATCAGCCCTTCATCGCTGTCCCACGGGGATGGGGGCTCCACCACTGCCCTGGGCAGCCTCTGCCAATCCTTTCCAATCCTTTCCATGAATTTTTGTTTTCTTAATGTCCATCCTAAACTCAGGCACTGCTGACACTCCTTTTCCATGCTTTTCTTCCCAGTACACGGAACTACACAGTCCCTGACCCCCCAGGCCTTTTTGATGGACACGTCTGGCCCATGTACCTCAAACACAGGAAGGAGATGGAGGATTSTGGTGTGGATGTGGGTAAGTCTTCCCCAAATACAAATCCATCAGCCTTGGAAAGCTGGAATTAAAGGAATTAGATGATTTAATTCAAGGAAACTTTCAGTGTGATGATGCAGGGTGCTATTTTTACTCCCAAGTTGTAATCCTGGCCTACTTTGGATAAATGYAGGCAGTTTTAGAGCTAAGAACTTACTCCCTTTGCTTTGTACTCTTAAGGACTTACAGGGGATAAAAAAATTAAAAAGGAAAAGAAGGAGTTTATAATGCAATAAGGATTTCACAGCCTGTTGTGGTTTTGGGATGGTTCTGTTTTTCCAGTAGAAAAAAAGAGTTGTCATTTGGGTCAATAAAATACGAAATATTTTTTAACTCATCTACCAGAATCTTGTTCTGATGGAAAGCCCCAGCCTGACTCCACCTTTTTTTTCTCCCAGTTTATTTAGATGGCCTGAAGTCCAGGGATGAACTCTACAACCAAGTCTTTGAAGATATTCACAACAAGCTCTTAAATTGCTCATAGGTAACTAAAATCCAGGGAGCTGGGACAGGAGGGATTGTGCTGGGAACAGCTTGGATCTCACCCTTTTCCCCTTCCTGCTTTTCCAGGGTCTGGGAAGATCCAGAAGATCCGTGTACAGCGTGATGTAAATAATACTTGGAAGTGGGAATGGGGTTTTATTTGTGTGAATTCCTCTCCCACTGCCTTTGGCAAGTCCCTTCTGTATATAATTGAAAAGTGAGGATAACTTATTCCCACCAGATGGACAGGATTACCTTGGTGGGGTGTTTTTTGTAATTATTTTATATTCCACTGGCTTACAGAGAAGTTGGAAATGGCATTTTTATAGCAGAGCAAGTAGAGCTGTGCTGGGAAGATGAGAGCTCCTGCTTGGGTGCTTCTGCAGACATGAAGGCTTTGTGCAAGGCTTGTTTGTAATATCATCTCTTGAATTCAGTAAAAATCAACTTTTGAGGTCCTGATTTAATTTTTCCATCAGCTTTTGAGCAATAAAAATGGGTGTAAAGCTCATCCAAAACACAACAGCAGGGATGTTTTTCCTGGGTGTTTGAAATTGCAGCCCTGGGGGGTGTCAGACCTCTTTCCACGTGTCACTGGTTGGGTTTGAGTGCTCACACAGAGATGGAACAGCTCAGTTTGTGAATTTAAATCCATAAGGTGAACTGGTGGGATTTCTCAGGGAATGAGACATGAAAATTCTGCTTCCCTAGGAATCATTTCAGGCATTAATACTAAAACACCATGCAGAATTCAGGCTGGAAGAGGGCAGGGCCATGGGAGTGACATCCCTGGATACGTGTGGTGYCTGTCCCTACCAAACCTGTGGGATGAGCACCAGGAGTTCTCAGGCACTGAAATAACTTGGCTGAGGGGGATTCCCTTCCCAAGATTTTAGGGCCTGAATTAGGAACAGCACTCTGAAAAAGCAGCTGCCATGGATTAGTGAGGAGCCACCCAAAAACYCACCGAGGCTGCAGCAGAGGGGAGCCAGATCCACTTCCTTTGAAAAYCATTTTACACCCATGATTTTCCAGTTGTCATGAGCAGGGATCCTAGGGCCAGAAGAGCTTCCCCAGGCTATAAAAAGGGATGATTTCCTGRTGTGCAGCACCGAACGTGCCTCGGGAGAGCCACCCCACTCTGGTTACACCATTCCACGGGCAGGGACACCCTGCTGGGACCTGTCACCCTTGTCCCTACACGGAACATTTCCCATTTCCCACAGCTGAGCTCCCTGGCAGGAGGAGACCCCAATAGGATGCAGGAAGAGTTTCTGTGGGGTTTTCCTGTCGTGGGTCAGTTTAAACCGTGCAAAAGTGTTTGGGGTTTGTAAAGACTTATAAGGGAAAAGCCTTTGCTCCCACCTCCTGCCAAGCTCTGGGAAGTAGGAATTGAAGCCTAAAAAAGGCATTTTGGTATCTGTGTCCACAGAGAATAAAACGTCACGGGGTGGTGGCAGCTCCAGCTGCAAAGAGGGGACTGGAGCAGAAATCCCAGTAACGTCACAGCCCCAAAATCCCCCTGGAGCAGCACATCCCGTTCATTCCCAGCACAACACGTGTTCCTACAGCCTTTAGGATTAGTAAACTCATGAAATCATGAATCACACCCCAAACTGTGCTTTTTTAGAAGTATTCTGGTCCATGTGGATGAGATTCCCTGCTGCTCTGGGGCTGGGGTGACTTCCAAGAGCCTTTTGGGAGAGTGAAACCCAAACCCTGGGCACGAGGGGAATCCAGGAAGGTTTCTCACTATGTGAACTTTGCCCAGCTCGGGAACAGCCGGGGCTATAGGATTTCCATACATCGTTTCACCCACTGCCTCTGCTGACAAATGCAGACCCCAAAGGCTCCCCAGCCCCCCAGGACACAGCGCCTGGAGGGGGAGGATGAGGCCCCCCAGCATGGGCAGACCCCCGTGGCTGTGCCAGCCCTGGTCATGCCATCTCCCCTGGGAGCCAAGTGCCTTGGCAGGGAAAACCAGGGCAGATTAAATKATCAGCACGTCCACGTGCCCCACGGGTTGGGATGAAACCTAYACCCGTTGGGACGTCAGCAGGGACAGGGACATGGGCCATGCCCCTCTGATCCCCAGGGAGCCACGGGGCCACAGCAGAGCAAGAAATAAATCCTAAATGGAGCAAATCCCMTGGGCAAGGAGCTGAGCTGAGGTGAACCCACCATGGGCAGCCAGGGAATGCCTGCCATGGGCTGGGATTTGGCTGGTGATTCCCATAGATCAAATTCTGCTGCTGCACGGGGCCTCAGGCAGTTGGAAAACCTCGGTGCTCCCAGGGGAAATCTCCCGTGCTCTGGTGTTCTCTGGAATGTGGAGCTTTGGGAGCTGGCTCCTCCCATCCCCAGGAGTGAGAGATCCCAGGCAACACCCCACAAACCATCCCYAGACCTCCCTCCACACCCACAGTGAGCTCACCCACCAGCACAAGGCAAAAAAAAAACCACTTTCCACCCCAAATGAAGGAAATCCCTCTGTGATAGGAGCACAACGGAGCAGCTTGTCCCAATCCCATTGCCCCATGGCAGGAGCTGAGGCGGCCACCCCAGTATAGAGGAACGTTTATTCTGGGAAAAGGAGGAGCCAGGGCTGGGTGTGGGGACAATGGGTGCAGCACCCCGGGGGGAATGGGGGGCACAGGGGGCTGTACTGAGGCCACGCAGGGATCAGTCCTTGGTCCCAGCCCACACGTGGGCTCGTAGCTGGAGTGTAGAAGGAGGATCTGCCCACCAAACCCCCACGGGGCGCTGGGGCAGCTCGGGGACCCGGGCGGGGTGGGGATGAACGGCCCCAAGCGCAGCGGCGGTGACGGGGAGCACAGGGACACGAGCCAGGCGGGAGCTGCACGCAGGAAGCCAAAGCCCGGGGTGGCACAGCCCCATCCCCCGAGGTGGGGTGCACAAACACCCCCTGCACAGAACCAGGGGGGATCGGGGAGCACCGGAGCCCCCGCGCCCGCCCGCTTTAACGGATGCTGCCGTCGCCCTCGCTGCTCTGCAGCTTCTCCCGCTCGATGGACCACACCAGCTCCTGCACAAACTTCATCTCYGAGGCCACCTGCTTGGCCAGGGCCTCGTAGTGGTTCTCCAGCTTGCGGTAGCGCCGCTTGAGCCCGTTGGCAGCCTGCACCACGCTCTTGGTCTCCTCCTGCGCCTGCTTCTTCAGCGCCTCCGTCTTCTGCAGCTCCTGCCGGATCTGCCGCAGGTCCTGGCTGATGCTCTCGTTCTCCTCTTTGTACCACGACTCCTTCTCCTCGTAGATGGACAGCAGCGCCTCGATGTCCTCCTGGAAGGATTTCTTGTTCCTCTCCAGCTCTCGGAGGCTCTCCTCGGCTGCAGCCACCTCCTCCATGACCTTGGAGAAGCGCTCGAAGTTGATGTAGGTGTTGTTGGGGGGCATGCTGGAGTGTGATTTGATGGTGTACTCCTTCAGGCGCGTGGTCTTCAGCCGGCGCCGCTCGGGCTTCTTGCCGCTGTCCTCGTTGCGGACGTTCCTCCTCTTGATCACCTGTGGAAGGGACAATTGTGGCTCCAACACCCACCCAGAGATTGCTGGCACTGACACCAGACCAGCCCCCACGGCGGGGGAACAGCAGAGCTGCTGTCAGAGGGGCTCTGACACCCAAAAGGTGCTGAATCTTTAACTCCTCACCTTAATCCAAGGGTGCTCCAGGCTCTGGGCGATGGTCATCCGCTTCCTGCAAACACAGCAAGGCTGGGATCAGGGCAGAGGCTTTGCTCCTCTGACCCTGCTAAAGCCCTGGATCCTGTGGTTGCCTCTGGGGCCTGGCTGAGCCTGGATAAACTCACTGCACTCAGGGCCCCTCAGACAGGGGMTGCATCCAGCCCCCAACACCTCAAAGTGCCTCCTCTCAAGAGAAACACAGGCAGCGGATCCTGTGGGAACCTCCTGACCCCACAGCTCCTTCCCAAACCCTGAGCCCTGGGGGCCCAGCTCAGCCCTCAACCCCTCCCAAGTCCCCACCCTCAGGGGGATCCCAGAATTGACCCCACCCTGGTGCAGGCAGGAGAGAGGGAGCTGCCTGTACACAATGGATCAAGCAGGGGGGACCATCCCCTCTCCCAGAGGAACCCCCAGCTCTGTCCCTGTCCCTCACTTGGGGTCCTTGACGAGCAGGCGGCGGATGAAGTCCTTGGCCAGCTCGCTGGTGTTGCTGAAATACTCCTCATCAAAGTCRTAGTTGACAGCAGAGATGTTGGTCAGTGTCTCTTGCTTTGTCTCCCCCAGGAATGGGGAGGCTCCACTCAGCCTGAGGAGACAGAGGRTTGGGACACCCCAAAAAGGCTCCAGCCCCAGGTGAGGGGCTCTTCCTGCAGCCCCATCCCCCCAGACCCACCCTATACTCACAGGATGTATGTGATGACCCCGATGCTCCTGGAAGAGAGAGGAAGAGGAGGCTGAAGTCACACAGAGCTTTTGGCACGAGGGGAGATGCACCAGCACGAGGGGATTGGCTGCTGGAGCCATGGGAAGGGGAATCACTCACCACATATCGGCCTCCAGCCCCAGGGGTTCGTAGTTCACAATTTCTGGGGCTTTGGGAGGAAAGAGAGGAGAAAACAGGTTTATTGTGGGTGAAGGACATCCCCATGGACACATCCAGGCAGCAGCACCAGGGTGCTGGGCATCTCTCCASRATTAATCCAAAGCTTTYGGCACCCCAGGAGTCCCCCAGGGAYGCTCACCTACAAACTCCGGGGTCCCAAAGATGTTCTTGAACTCATTCCCAGCCTCGATCTTGTGGGCGATCCCAAAGTCAATGAGTTTGATGCGAGGGTTTGGCACGTTCTTGTCCAGCAGCATGATGTTCTCAGGCTGTGGGGGGAAAGAGCAGCTGGGTCTGTCCCTACACACCCACCCCTGGGTGCTGCTCTGGGGTCACCATTCCAGAGCAGAGATGTGGGAGAGGTTGGGAAAGATCACAAACACCAGCCCCAGTGCACTGGAGAAACTGGGGACTCCTCCAGACCCCATTTGAGGGCTCATCCGTCTGCAGCTCCCATAGCCCATTTGAGGGCTCATCCCTGTCTGCAGCTCCCAGACCCCATTTGAGAGCTCATCCCTGTCTGCAGCTCCCAGACCCCATTTGAGGGTTCATCCCTGGGGCTCCCAGAGCCCATCTGAGGTTCATCCCTGCTCCCAGTGCTGCAGCTCCCAAACCCCATTTGAGGGCTCATCCCTGTCTGCAGCTCCCAGACCCCATTTGAGGGCTCATCCCTGCTCCCAGTGCAGCACACGGGGTGTCTGCAGCTCCCAGACCCCATTTGAGGGCTCATCCCCATCTGCAGCTCCCAGACCCCATTTGAGGGCTCATCCCTGTCTGCAGCTCCCAGAACTCACCTTCAGGTCGAAGTGGGCGATGCGTTTGGAGTGCAGGTAGTGCACCCCATCCAGAATCTGCTTCAGGAACTGCGTGGCCTCCTCCTCCGTCAGCGATTCCTTCTCAGCCAGGAAATCAAAGAGCTCCCCKCCGGACACCAGCTCCAGGATGAGCACCACGTCGGTCTTGTTCTCGAAGATGTCGTGCAGGGTGATGATGTTGGGGTGCTGGATCTCCCTCAGGATGTCCACCTCACGCTCGATCTCCTCGCGGCTCACGCCCCTGCGGCTCGACGACAGCCGCCGCTTCTTGATGAACTTGGCCGCGTATTCCAGGCCCGTTTTCCTCTCCCGGCATTTCCGGACGATGGCGAATTGGCCGCTGCGGGGTGGGGGAAGAAGGTGAGGGGTGGGGAAGGGAGGATGTCCTGCACCACGGGCTGGAAGCAGCTCGAAGATGGGGACTGGAGGATGTGGTTCCCCGCAGGAATGACAGAGTTGGGGGCCAGTGATGCCCCAGCACAGCCTGGCACCATCCAGGATGGAGGAAGGAAATTCCTCCCAGGAATGTGGCAGCTGCCGACCCTCCCTGGGCTATGCAGGTGCTGCTGTGATCTGCCAGGGTGGGAGATGCCCATCAGCTCCCYCTTTCCAGCCAGGAGCCCTCAGGAGCAAATCCTAGAGCCTGGTGGCCCTGGGAGACCAAAAAGCTCTGATGGAGCAGGCAGGTGGAGGGGGAAAAAGCCTGAAATCAGAGTAACAGCATCTGCACCCCTTTATACCTTTAWACATCCCTGGATCACAGCCAGGGACATGCACAGGGCAGGGTGGGATCCATCCCCTGGGCACCACATCCTTCCCCACGGCTCACAAAGAACCACAGCCACAGAGGGGCAAGAAAACCTGGAGCCACCCCTGAAGTTCCTCTGSTCTCAAAACACTTAAGCAGCCCAAAATGTTTTTGCTGCCCAAGTGCCCCAGGAGGAGCCACGGCGTGGGGCCAGCACGGCCGAGGCAGCGCTGGAGGATCCGGAGGCAGCTCCCCCAGAGCCGCCTCTGCATCCCGGCTGATTAAATCCCATCTGCAGGCACTGAGTCACCCTGGATCCCTCCTCCCACGGGCGCAGGGCCAGGCACAGCCACCGAGGAGGGCCGGAAGACGGAGCCGGACGGGAGCTCCACCGGGAGCAACGTTAATTAACACTTTTCTGTAATCTCTGTCTGCCCCAAGTGACTCTGCACAGCCCCGGCCCTGCTGCCTGCAGAGTGGAGCAGGGACACCACAAGGGATCCAGCAGCTGGATCCAGTGAAGATCCCACCCACTTCTGGGGGTGCAGCCATGGAAGCCCCCCCAGAACGCAGTGAGATGTCCCTCACCTGCCCAGCTCTTCCCCCATCTCATAGAAATCCTCCACGCTCTCCTGGCGGAAGGTGGACATGGCTGCGGGGCTCTGYGGAGCGGGAGCCGCCCCGGTGCTGCCAGCGCAGGGTGTGGGGAGCGGGGAGCAGCCGGGGATCAGCACCTGCGGCACCGGGAGAAGGGGGGTCACACCAACACTGCCCAGGGATCCCGCGGGATGCACAGCCCGGGCTGGAGGAGCCGTCCCAGAGATGCCCCCCGGTCTCACCACACCCCAAAACCCGGGGGACAGAGAAGGGAAGGGG